CTCCACCTCCAAATTCTATCTTTTCAATGGTGAGTGTAGAACATTTCCATTTAAGGTAATTATTGACAAGTTAGTGCTTCAGTCTGCAGTTTTATTTTTGTTTTGTTTGTTTCCTCTATTTACCTTTCTTCTTTTTCAGAAAGAGAAAGCTTCCTGTGAACAATTTGAACATTCTATAGAATTCTATTTTGATTTATCAAGTGTTTTCAGTATGTCTCTCTCTTATATAAATTTTTTAGGGAATGCTCTAGGTATTATATTACATGTACATAATTTATAATCTATTAATGTTGACATTTTTAACAGTTGAGTTTATAAAGGGTTAGAAATCTAACCTCCTTTTAAGTTTTTCTCCTGTCCTGTTTATAACTGTCTTAAATATTTCATATATATATATACTATATATATAGTATATATATATAGTATATATATATATATATACTAAGAACTGCAACAGACAATGTACTTTTTTGCTTCAACTGATCAAATATAATTTAGAATACTCAAGAGGAGAAGGAACCTCTATTGTATTTAAATCTTTCCAATGTTCTTCTTTCCTGTTATTCCCAGATTCCTCTTTTCTTTCTTTGCTTTTTTTTCTGTTTCAAGAACTACTATTAACCATTCTTTTAGCATAGGAAGGACCACTGTTGACAAATTTGGTTTAATTGTGCTTCGTCTGAGAATGTCTTAATTTTGCCTTCATTTCTGAATGAAAACAGAACACAGGATTCTGTGTTGGTAATTCTGGGTTTGTGTGAGAAGGTGGCACAACATTCTCCAAAAGAGAACCACAACATCTCTGGTTTCCATGGATTCTGATGAGAAATGATGAGAAATCTGCTGTACTTCAGATTGGTTTTTTCCTCATAAAGTAAGATTTTGTTTCTCTCTCACTGCTTTCAAGCTTTTTTCTGCCTTTAGTTATCAGAAATTTGATTATGGTTATGATTTATGTCTTGACATGGATTTTTAGGGGTTTCCTTTTTTGAGGGTTTGTTCAGCTTCTGGAATCTGAGATTTATGTATTTTGCTAAATGTGGGAAATTTTCAGCCATTATTTCTTCCAGTACTTTTCAGCCCCACTATATTTCTCCTCTTGTTCTAGGAATCCAATGTCCCACATGTCCAGGATATGGTCTGTCTTGGTGAGGTGAAGCTCATTATTTTAAAAGTCTGTTTTCTCTCTTTTGTTCAGATTGAGTAATTTCTTCTGTTCAATATTCAAGTTAACTGATTCTTTCCTCTTGTTCTCTTTATTCTGCTGTTGAGCCCAACCACTGTGTTTATTTGGTTATAGTATTTTTCAGTTCTAAAATTTCTATTTGGTTCTTTATGTTCAATTTCTTAGCTGACACTTTTTTCTTTGCTAAGAGTTTCTATTTTTACATGTTTCAAATTTATTCATAATTGCTCATTAAAGCATTTTGTGGTGGCTGTCCTGAAGTTCTTGTCAGATAATTATAACATCTGTGTCATTTGGTGTTGATGTTTGTTGATTATCTTTTCACATTCAAATTGAGGTCTTGGTAGGCTAGTTTCTTCTATTTTATTCTGGACATTTTGGGTAGTATGTCATAGACTGTGGATCTTGTTCAACTCTTCTATTTTAGCAAGCCTTCTTTGACATTGCACTGGTAAGGAGATGGGGCAGCACTTTGTTGCTGTCAGATGAGAGATAAAAGTCCAGGGTCCCCCACTTGGCCTCTATTAACACCTTAGATGTTGTGCTTCGTTAACTACGAGGTAGGTTAGGAACTCCCCCTCCCAATAAGCATCCACTGACTCATCCTGACTAGGAAAGGCAGAAGTACCTTATTAATGCTTCACAGACATTATTACTGCATGGAAGTGTAGTGTGATCTGTAGTAACACTTGTGTGTATGGGTGCATTACTGCTGGGAGAGGATGAAGGTTCAGGCTCCCCATTCAGCAGGGCTTATTAGGGAGCAGTACCTTGTTAAAGTTGAGCAAGGGAAGAAATCTGTACTCCCCTTCTGCTTTTAGTGGTGTAGATGGAGCCATAGTTTATTCCATGGTGTTTGGCTGGAATAGACCCATTATTGTCTAAAAGTTTTCTGTCTTGCTAGGTTTCCCTTTTCCTATTCTTTTAACTAGAAAGAGCAGCTTTTATGTGGAACTTCCTTTGTTTTGTTTTCTCTTGGTGGTGTTTCTGGATTCCTTGCTTCTCCAGCACCTAATCTGGCATATATAAGACAAAATCCCAGTCTAAAGGAAAAACTCACTTCCAAGTGTTTCCTTTACTCTCCCACTTATTGCCACACTCACGGCACTTATGACACCAAATATGTGGGCTTTCCACGCTTTCAAGAAATTTTCCAACACTAGTTGGGTATCCTAGAACTCAACTGAATTCTGACACTGTCTACCTAGAAATAGCATCAGATCCAACAGGCTAAAGGCTCAGTCCCACAATACTGCCTCGTACCCACTTCAAATGCCTATTACAAGTCCAGACTGTCACCTGTGTTCTGACTAACCGGCTGTAAATAGGAAGTTCCCATGACCCTTTTCTTGGGTTTGATTAATTTGCTAGAGCAGCTCATAAAACTCAGGAAAACATTTACTTACTAGATTACTGGTTTATAAAGAGGATATAATTTAGCAACAGCCAGATAGAAAAGATACATAGAGCAAGGTATAGGAAGGGGCACCAAGCTTCCATGCTCTGTCTCAGCATACCACTCTCTATACATTCACAAACCCAGAAACTCTCCAAATCCCCTCCTTTTGGGTTTTGGCTTTTAATAAAGACATGCCCCTCCATAGGCATGATTGATTAAATCGTTGGCCACTGGTGACTGATTCAACCCCAGAGGTCACGGGTAGGACTCAAAGTTCCAACCCTCTAATTATGGTTGTTTCTTCTGGCAACTTGCCTCCATCCTTAGGGACTTACCAAAAGTTACCTCATTAACATAACCAAATGGAAAGAAGCTTGTTATGAATAACAAGACATTCCTTTCACCTTTATGGCTCTGGAGCTATTTCAGGAACTGATGGCAAGAGACCAAACAGCATAACAAAAGATGGTCCTATAGCTCTCATATAGGAAATTACAAGGGTTTTAGGAGCTCTGTGCCAAGAACAGTGGACAAAGTCCAAATATATATTTCTTATTATAAATCACAATATCATAGTCCACTCCCTGGTCTTTGAACACAGATCTCTAAGAGCAAAATGATCATAAAATTCAAAAGATACTGGCACATCACTAATCCTATTCAGTCATTATCCAGTCCATAGTCATATGAAAATGTCTCTCGGCATAAGGCCACTCAGATCTACAGGCTTCTATTATTAACCTTGTCAGGTTCCAAGGGCAGGACTGGTCTCATAAAACATAGCTTCATCCTTTCAGGCATCTGATGTAACTGGGCTACGAGACACTGTTCCCTCCTGCTCTGAGCCTCTTTTGGTATGTTAATATAGTGTTGGACTTCCCTCATTATACAACCTATTTATTAATTCCTGTACCCATAACTACTATTTCTCCTCTCCATTTATACCCAAACTTCCTACCTTGGGAAGGGACAACAGGCTTGGCCAGTGTGCTGGTCTAGATTGTGGACAGCAATATTAGTCCAGCAAGTACCTCTCTATCAGTCCATTCTTGTTCAGATAGGGTAAGCTTATATAGGTGCAGAGCTAGTGGACTATTTTAGCCACTAGCCAAAACATTAGCCTCAATTTTGCCAGATGTGGGTGAAGGCAGAACTCACCCCCAGAAGCCTTCAGGAATTCTGACATAAGATTTAAAGACATAGTTACAATTTCTTGCTTAGGAATCACTGTTTCCAGCACTCATATTGCAGCCATGGTCCTGTAACCATTGCATCAGGTAGGGAAAAAGTTGGGGTGATGTGGAGAAGAAGAAACAAGTGTAGTGGTCATACAAGTATCATCTCCCTTAGCAAGAATTGTCTAGTCATGCTGGCATGCTTCCTCACATCCACCAGAAGGACAGAGAAATCCATCCAGTGGGGACACTCCTTTAGCCCCCCTCACATTCATGTTGAGTGTGAGCACTCTCACGAAGGCATGTAAGCTAGCCCTTCATGCTTATCTCCCTGTTTCAAACAACCCATGCTGTAATTGCCCGTCCAATTCTCTACCAAATTAGTACTCTCAGGAGGGTATCTTTGTGCCCATTGTTGGACATTATGGGCTGTTAAGTGTGTTCCTTAGTCTGAAGAAATAACAGCTGTCATATTGGTGCAGTATCTTCTGTCCTAGTTCTTTTATAGAACTCTGAGCATTTGCATTTACTGCTGGGTAAGCAAAACTCAGTCCAGAGTCAGTATCTATTCCTGTGAAGACCCATTTGCAAACCTCCAGGGCCACCAGCATCAGCTGACTTGCCAGGGCTTTCCCACAAAGAGAAATTTGCCACCGCCATCTGCAATCTCTTTTTTGCTGGCGGACAGAACAGTTCTTACTGTGTGCCTCAGAAGGTGCAAGAGGAATATGTCTAGACTCAGTCCATCTCTGCATTTTGTAGATACCCATGTCTACCTATTTCATGGACCAAGGTGGACACCTTAAGTGAGCATATGGGATATCTGCTTGTCCACTCCAGTCCCCTTCCACACCTGGAAGGGAGTTCTGATGGGCATCAACATGTCTTACTTCTTTAATGTACTTGTCAAAACTCCATAGAGCTGTGCCCCATATGGCCAGGTCTCCATTGCTCTCCTGTCTGACCATATGGCCAGGCCAGAAACAGTGAATGAAAACCAAATATGTATTTGCATTATAAATCACAGTAACACACCAGGGAAAGACCACAGTGTCATTCCTTGGGTCCCAAGTTCCCCAGCTCTTCTGCCTTCTTCTCTGCTCCTTTCAGTCTCATGTCTATTTTATATATAATGGGCAAGGTTTTAGCTGTACTTGTAAGAGGAATAGGGAGAAATTAGTCCACTTCATTTTGACCTGGAAACAAAGAAAATGTCATTTTGTCCTTTGTAAATATATAGGAACCACCAGAGACTGAATGTGCAAAAGATTTGTTTGGAGGCAGACTTACTTCTGACATGATTGCAGAACGACAAGGACATTCAAACTTTACTCAAATGCAAGAACTGAACTGGACTTCATCATCCATCAGGTACAATCACTTTTATTATATACTTTTTGACATTCTAATTAAATGTGTAAATATTATTACCATTTTTGTAGGTTTATAATTTAGACATCTTTTCTAAATACAACCAGTAATTTAGAAAATCATCTCCCTTACTTCAAAATCTCATGCTAATGTTACCACCTTTTACAGTGCATTAATAATTTTTATTATCACACCCTATGATTTAAAACATCATCAGTTTCTTTCTAAGACCTTATATTTCCCTTTTCTTTTATAACCAGGCTTTTAAAACTAAAACATACTGGGATTGCTCCCTACATCGTGTCACTGTAATCCAGTGCAGCCTGCCTCCCACTGCCACCATTCCTCTGATGCTATTCTGGTTAGAATCTTCTTCTCTCCACTCTTCTCCAGCCCAAACTCAGCCCCCACATGAATATTCAGTTACTGTCTAGAAATGATCTAGGAGACAACAGCTGTTGTTACCCAAGCCAAAAGTTTTAGGAGCCATTTCTCTCTCTGCTTTGTCCTCTTATGTTTAATTAACCGCCTTGTTCCACACAGTCTGTGTCTTATGTCTCATACTTCCCCTATCTTTCCATAGTCACTGCCATTGGCCTATGTCCAGAAATGAACTTTAGAAACTCTCTTCATGATCTTTTTGGTTTTCATCTTACATAACCTACCCTGCAAATTCATCTATTATCCATACTGCCTTCTAAGATGCAAGTTTCATCAGATCACTTCCTGTCTCAATATTGTTAAGTGTCTTTCCATTATCTACAGAATAAAATTTAAAGTCCCTTCATATGGCATAAAAGACTCTTTAATTACCTGTCTATTTTTATCTCTTAAAACCCTTACCTTTACTGTCCTATAACTCTTCATACTCCAGAAATTCTAAAATACAACCAGAATTTGTTCCTTAATCTCAATCTTATGAGGATGCTTCATGTTTCTGCCTTCGATTGTGCCTGGTCTACTGCCTGAAACTCTTTCTGACTTGCCTATCAATGCCCATAAATTCTCCAGGTCTCATTTTAAGATCTTTCTCCCCTGTAAAGTCATTCCTGACTTCCCCACATAGGTTTTTCTTTCCCTTAAATGCCATTACACCTAACTCTATTATAGCAATTTTCTATTTTTATTTTATTTTTTTCTGGATCCCATTTCTTGAGGGAAGAGACAATGTCTTTTCATGTTTGTTGCAGCCTTTCCAAACAAATTGCATGTAGAAAATACTAATGGAAATATGTTGAATGAATGAATGACTCATTAATGGATCAAAGTGTGAAATAACTGTAATTTCATAGTTTGGGTTTGTTTAAAGAAGTGGTTAGAGCTTTATGCTCTTCCCTGTCATTGTTCAAAGAAGGTGAACACTTGTAAAGCTATGGACTAGGAATCAAGCATTTTGTTTAATTATCAAAATACCTTTACAACATGGAATGCCATAAAAGTTTTCAGGAGATCCCACAGAAAACTATTTCCCAAACCTTACCTGCTTTCTCCTTTTCTTTCCCATCCTTCATTTCTTCCTGGAATTTCAGAAATAACCTATTTCACATATATCCTTGCAGTTTACAACCTAAAAATCTTATGATTTACCATATCAACTTCACTACAATTTTATGAACATGTATGTGAATATATAAATAAAAGAAATTGGAGATGTTTATTTTAAAAGCTTTTTTTATGATAATACTATGTTTATGTAGGAATAACCATGTTTTTAAATCAGTAAAATTCTCTCATTTTCTTACAAATGTGCCTAACAAAAAGATCTTTTTGTCTGGTCACTTGACCTATAAATTTTACATTAAGGCAATTGTTTTTCATAGCATATATCAGATGAGAATTTTTTTTTATGCATTTGGGGTTCTACATGAGGGATTCATCCATATAATTTTCCAATTAAAATTATATTTACTTTGTCTAAATTCAGGACTGTGGATTTGATTCCAGTTGACCAATTTAGAAATTTATGTAATGTGAATCTACAGAACAATAATCTTAGTTCATTTAGTGGATTAATCTATCTGCCCAATGTGAAGGTGGGTCACTCACAAACTTTCTTTTTATCTTTCAAGGTTTTCAATGCAAGTTGTATTCTTTAATTTGGGTTAAAATATATTTCTGTGTTATTAAAGAAGAGAAATTATTCCTAAAGTTTCCTTCCACCAAGCAAGAAAAAGTATTACTTTCCAAAGTTATTTTGGTTGACATCAGTTTTATGTGATTGTCTTATAAATAGTAAATCTTATTCTGCAGTAGGTGATGGGATGGAAGGCTGCCTCTGTAGTGAGTGAATATAGAATGAAGGTAGAGGACGTTGTGGTTCTCAAAGCAGCCTCTTGCCTCCTATCCTATAGCTTTGACCTAGCCATCTGCAAAAGGCTTTTTAAACAAAGGGAAATAAAAATCTCTCCAACTAAAGAGTTATTTTATCTAAATTTGGAGAAGTCAGGAATTCAGACTGAAGAAGCTGAGCTGTTTTCTAGGGTCTCCATTATTTTGTTTAAAATGTCATTTCCCAGCATGTCGGATAATAAAACCACATTCAAAACCAAATCCAGACAATTTGGGATATAAAAATTTACATCATTTTTGAATGAATGAAGTAGATGTGGTACATATACACAACAGAATATCACTCAGCCATAAAACAGAAGGAAATCTTGCCATTTCTGACAGTGTGGATGGCCCTGGAATGTATCATGCTAAGCAAAATAAGTCAGGCAAAGACAAATACCATATGATTTCACTTGTGTGTGGAATCTAAGAAGAAACACATGACAAAAACAGAAAATAAATAGACCCATAAATACTAACAACAAACTGTTGGTTATCATAGGGAGGTGGGTGGAGAGGCGGGTGAAAGAGGTGAAGGGGATAAAGAGGTACAAACTTCAAATAAAAAATAAATTAGCCATAGGAATGCAAGTACAACATAGAGAACATAACCAATAATATTGTGATGTCTTGGTGTGTTACAGAGGGCAAATTCAATTACTGTGGTGAGCATTTAGTAATGTATATAATTATCAGTTCCCTGTGTTGTACATCTGAAACCCACATAATACTGTATATCAACTATATTCCAATAAAAAACTGTATTATTTTTAACCCTGATATGTCATTAAATTATGTTGTATAGTCCAAGTTTCTCCATACCATTTTAATAGTTTTTAGAATGTTGATAATATCAAGCCAAAGATACATATACAGCACAGTTCATATTGTAATGTTTGATTAATAGGGTATTCTTTCTGTAGGTCTTATGCCTCAACTATAATCATATTGAATCAATCATGCCCAGACTAAAGCCTCAGACTCACCTGACCAGCAGACAACTACTGTACCAAAAAGTACCTTCAAGTGGCTATGGACAGCAAGGAACTTCAAAAATAAACAAAATAAACAGGTATTATTCTTTTTTCTTACAATTACAAATAATTTTGGCTGGGGATTTTTAAAAGCAGTTACATTAATGATAGCAGTAACATACATTTAGCTTATTTTAATACTTAATGGCTACATGCCAAAAATAAACTTCGCAAATAAAAATATTTAAAATATTCCTTTGTTATTGCTTTTTCCCTGCTCACTCCATTTCGTACCCAGTTTGTAAAAAATGAAAAAATTTGGGGTGTTTAATGACCTTGTTTTCTCTTAATTGAGATATAATTTATATACCATAACACTCAACCCTCTGTATACAAATCAGTGATATTTAAGTACATTCACAAGTTGTGCAACCATTCTAACCGTCTAATTCCAGAACATTGTCATCACCCCACACAAGAGCCCTTACCCAGTAGCACTGACTTAGGTTTCTTTTAATCTTGTATTTGTTTCTAAATGTTTTCCTCTTGTCACTTAATGTCCCAGCATCAAGATACTTAATGAAGAAGATAAGGACACACCTCTCACCTTCCACATTTTTGGTAGAACATAAAGAGATATATATCTTTCCAAGTCAGAATACTCTCATTTCAGTTGCCCCAATGAAGAGCATTTCTTACATTTTTATCAGTAAAATTTTATCAATTTTATTGAACTATAATTTACATATATTAAAACTTACCAGTATAAGTGTACAGTTTAATGAATTTTGACTAATGTACTACAATCAAGGTACAAACCATTCCTATCCCAAAAACTTCCCTTATATCTCTTTGTAATTCCTTCCCCCAACACCTGGGCCCCTGACAACTACCACTGATGTGCTTTCTATCACTATAAATTTGCCTTTTTCTAGAATTTCATAGGATTAGAATCATATAGTAAGTAGTATTTGGTGTCTGGCTCTTTCACTTAGCATAATTCATTTGAGATTCATCTGTGTTGTTGCAAATGTCAGTAATTGATTTTATTTATTACAGAGAAGATACCATTATATAGACTATATGACAAGTTGTTTATCTGTTTACCTTTAATGACCATTTGGGTTGTTTCCAGTTTGAGACTAATTTGATTAAAGCTTCTATGAACATTTCATTTACACATATCCTTTATATTGGGAACTATTTATATTTGTTTTTTTAATAGCTTTATTGAAGTACAGCTTGCTTACCATATTCATTCATTTTAAGTGTATAATTTTTACTAAATTTATAGAGTTGTGCAACTATTACTGTAGTACAGTTTGAGAACATTTCTGTTACACCACAAAAGACCTCTTGTGTACATTTGCTGTCAATTCCCCTTCCCACTTCTAGCTCCAGGAAGCCACTAATCCACTTTCTATCGAGTTTTATTTTCTAGACATTTCATATAAATGGAATTACATAATATGTGGTTTTTTGTATCTGACTTCTTGGCATGCTTTTGAGGCTTGTCCATGTTATAGCATGTATTAGTAGTTCATTCTTTCTTATTGCTGAATATATCACATATTCCATTGTGTGGATATGCTGCATTATGTTTATCCATTCACCAGCTGATGGACATTTGGACTGTTTCCACTTTGGGGCCAGTATGAATAATGCTTCTATAAACATCTTTGAAGAGGTATTTGTTTGCACGTACATTTTCTCTTTGGTAGATACCTAAAAACAAAATCTCTGTGTTGTACAGTAACTTAATGTTTAACTTTTTAAAAAACTGCCAAAGTGGTTGTACCATTTTACATTACCAAGAGCAGTTTACAGATATTCTAATGTCTCCACATCCTCACCAATACTTGTTATTATCTTTTTGATTATAGCCATTCTAGTGGATTCAAAGTGGTATCTCACTGATTTACAAGTATTTTCTCTCAATGTGTGGGTTGTCTTATTATTTTCCTAAATGGCATCTTTCAAAGGAATTTTAATTTTGATAAAGTCCAGTTTATCAACTTTTTCTTATAAACTGTGATTTGGTATTGTACCTAAGAATTCTGCCTAACCTAGGGTCACAAAGATATTCTCATGTTTTCTTCAAAATGTTTCACTTATTTGTCTTACATTTAGGATGATGATCCATTTTGAGTAAATTTTTAGGTATATTGTGAGGTAATGTGAGGTCGAAATTCATGTTTTGCATGTGGATATCCATTTATCCCAGCACAATTTGTTTGAAATATATCCATACCCCCGTTGAATTGCCATGGTACCTTTGTTGAAAATCAATTGACCAGAAATGCAAAAGTCTATTTCTGGACTTTTAATTATATTCCATAGATCTGTGTGTCTCTCCTTTTGCCAGTACCCAGCTGGTTTGTTTCCTGTAGCTATAAAATAAGTTTTGAAATTGGGGATTGCAAGCCCTCCAACTTTGTTCTTTTTAAACGTTGTTTGGATTTTTGAGGTTCTTTACATTTCCTTATAAATGTTAGAAAAAGGTGGTTATATTCTGTAGGGAAAAAAACCTGCTGGGCTTTTTTTTTTTTTATAGAGAGACTGCTTTGACTCTATTGATGAACTTGAGGAGGACTGTTATTTTTAGTAATATTGAGTAATATTAGAAAATCCATGAACATGGAATATTTCTCCACTTATTTAGATCTATAATTTATCTCAGCAATGTTTTATAGTTTTCTGTGTATACATTTTGTACTACTTCTGTTAAATTTTTTCTGAAGTATTTTATTCTTTTTTTTTACTATTTTGAATAGAATTCTTAATTTCATTCTCAATTTATTGCTGATAAATAGGAATCCAATTGATTTTTTTAAATCTTTTACCCTGTTATCTTGCGGAAATTATTTATTAGTGCAATAGTAGTTTTTTGGTGGATTCCTTAGGATTTTCTAAATCATGTCATCTGAGAATAAAGACAGTTCTACTTTTCTGATCTGGATGCATCTTTTTTTCTTTTTCTTCCTTGATGGCACTCTTGCTTTTAATTTTGACTAACTCTTTATATACTTTGTTCTTTACCATCTAAAAATATTTTTAAAGAATAAAAAATTATTATTATATGAAATGTAAATATACAACATATTGTAGTTTTTTATTTATTAGTAAATTCATTTTTGTTTTTTTAACTTCAATTTATAGTAAGTACATACCAGACCACCTTTTTACAATACAGCTGGCTTGAAATAAAGTTTATGGGCTTAAAGTGACATGTGTTTTTCAGAGATACAATGAACAATGAAAATTTGCCTCCAATAATGCACAGTTTAGAAGTTCTTCATTTGGGCTATAATGGAATTTGTAATTTAAATCAGCTGCAGCTTAACAGACTAAAAAATTTAAAATTCCTCTTTCTACAGGGTGAGTAGCAACACCATTAATGTGTAAGTCTTTATTAAAAACTGATTTGATTATCATCCTGTTTTGATAAGCAAATATAAGCACTGGCATTTACTTAAAACAAATTCATTGACAAAAATATTTTAGTTTTCACAAATGGGATTTTATGGATTTACTTAGATAAATAATGTAAATGTGATATTCTAGGGCTAAAAAATATTGCCTTAGACTGCAATATTTTATAGCCCTATGAAACACAATAGTCTAGGGTTATATGTATAATTACATTATAATTTACTTTTATATCATATTCAATTTTTAAAAATAGAAATAAGCAGTGAATTATTCACAAGTACTTATTACACCTAGAATTGTGCTAAGTACTAAGAAAAGTACAGAGATACTGTATTACTGTATATAATTGAGATCCTTGCTCCAAATAGTTTTAAGATCTCTGCCTGTGGAGATACACTGAACCAAAGATGAATTAAGTTCTGACTAACATAAGTGCAATTGAAGTTTAAAGAGAAATTGAAACATTAACTCCTGCACATACCTAGGATTCCAAAAGATTGATAGAATTTAGACTGAAGGTGAGCATGACTGAGAGCTTTACAAGCATCAGCAAGAAGAGTCACAGGGGCACAATTGTGGTGTCTATAGTCCAACTCTTGGAAAGGGACCAACCTGATGAAAAAGAGTATGTGATCCTCTGAGAATTGTAAAGCCTCTAAGCAGGATCTAGTTAATGGATAATGATTATTTTGCAGGTGGAAATAGCTGGGAATTTAAATATTTAGCAAAGTAAGGGGGGGAAAAAACAAGATTTGGAACATTTGTCTAACAATAAGTATTTAACGACATAGAAGAAAGGTTGGGAAATCCATTCATGAGACATGTGCAGAGATATCTGTATAGTTGATCTGAGTATAGTAACTTTTTTTAAATGACAGGCCCTTTATAGATCATATTTAAAAAATGTTAAAGCATCTTTTTACCAATCAAAAGTGCTCATGAATAGGGTCAAAAACATAGAGTGTTAGCCTGAAAAGAAAAAGAAATTGAGCACAAAAATGACCGATCTTTTAAAAGAGACGGTGACATACAAAAAAAGCAGACAGCCTAACCCTGGAAGGTCTGTTTTATTCTCTTAACATAAAGCTGCAGTGTATTCTGCCATGTCTAGCATGGCAAATCAGAGCAGGGAAGCTTACACAAGAAGTGAGGCAGTTTACTTTGACAATAACAGCTACTGTTTACTTAGTCATTGGGCAAGGTGTTTGTCTACATATATGATCTCGTTCAACCTTTACAGCAACCCAGCATGGTAAGTAATTTTACAAAAAAGAAATCGAATCTGACTTTGGTTAAGTAACTAAGTCTATGCTTATCAGTGGTATGGCACAGAGTCAAACACGGCTCTGACTCCAAAGTTCATGCATTTTCTATCCAGTGTGAGTAATGTAATAAGGGCCTGGGCCAGAGTGGTGTCAGGGGGAAGGGTGAAAGGTGAGTCCAAAAATGCAGCTTAAAAGAAGGAAATATTAGCACTTAACTAATTAGATATATAAGGAGAGAAAAAATAGTTCCAGATGTTTTCATGATTTCAGTAGGAGATAAAGCAAAAAGAGGGACTAAAGCCAGACAAAGTCATGGGGAAAGGTTGCTCATTTGCAGTAGGGAAAGATTAGTTTGTGTTGTCACAGTTTTGGGAAAAAATGGAAACTTTTTCACTGGACCACAGGTCAGGATTGGGGATGTGTATTCTAGAATTATCCCAGAGAAGATGGTGGGTGAAGTCATAAATACTTAGGTAATAAGTAATATGTTCTTTTTAATACTTTACTTTTTAAAAAATCACTTGAAAAAATACTTAAATGAAGTTAGATAACCTTTTATTCAGGAAGTTTGGCTCACCATTCATGTCATGATTTATCTTTTCTCAGGGAATAAAATCAGTCATGTTGAAGGGCTTGACAATTTAGTAGCCCTTCAAGAATTGGTAGTGGACCATAACCGCATCAGAGCATTTAATGACAGTGCCTTTGCCAAACCCAGCTCTCTGTTGACACTTCACCTGGAGGAAAACAGACTACAAGAGCTGAGCAAATTACAACCTTTGGTAAAACTAGAGAAACTGTTCCTAGGATATAATAAAATCCAGGTAACATTATTTTGGTTTTTGTTATGAGATTTTACACAACTTACTTCCTTTGAATATAAGCTTCCAAACACAGCAAGGAAAATTTTGCTGGGGTGTTACTCATCATTTATATGCTATCTAATGCTCTTTATTGCAGAGGCATGTAAATAGTCTGTGAGGCGAGATGTCCACCCTGCTTCTAGCCTAAACCCAACCAATCCACATGCAGCCACCTGCTAAAAAGGTTATCTCTAAATGTTTGAAAGCTCCTCACAGCAGTCTCTCTAAGAGATGTCTTTTTTCCCTGACTGTTCTTGATCCAAGCTATTTCTGCATTTCAATCCCAGACACCCTCTGCCCTTTAAATTTGGCATATGTACTTGGTGTAGCCAACATTTGATTCAACTCCTGATAATAGGCTTTGACTTAGCTTTAATAGTCCGTCTCTCCCCACTCAATATTTCCTTAGATAGGATCCTGCCTTAGTTTGTTTTGGGGTTTTTCTTGCTTTTTTTTAATTGAAATATCATGGTTATACAATCTTATATTGGTTTCAAATATACAACACAGTGGCTCAATAGTTACCCATATTATTAAATCCTCACCCCCTCTAGTGTGATTACTATCTGTCAAGATAGAAAGATATTACAGAATCATTGACTGTATTCTCCGTGCTGTACTACTATTTCTGTAACTAACTTATATTATGATTAAGAATTTTGTGCCCCTTTATCCCCCTCACCATCACCCACCTGCCACAGCTCCTCCCCCATGGTAACCACCAGTTACTTCTCAGTGTCTATGAGGCTACTGCTGTTACGTTCATTCTGTTTTGCTTTGTTTTTATATTCCACAAATAAGTGAAATCATAGGGTATTTATCTTTCTCTAACTGGCTTATTTCACTGACATAATATCCTCTAGATCCATCCATGTTGTTGCAAATGGCAGGATTTCTTTTCTTTTTATGGCTGAATAATGTTCTATTGTGTTTATGTACCACATCTTCTTTATCCATTCATCTATTATTGATGGACACTTAGGTTGTTTCCATATCTTGGTTATTATAAATAACGTAGTAGTGAACATAGAGGTTCATATGTCTTTTCAAATAAGGAATTTTGTGTTCTTTGGTTAAATTCCTAGAAGTGGAATTACTTGGTCCTATAGTATTTCTATTTTTAATTTTTTGAGGAACCTCATACTGTTTTCCTCAATGGTTAAACTAGTTTACATTCCCACCAGCAGTGTAGGAGGGTTCCCCTTTCTCCACATCCTTGCTGGCATTTGCTGTTCTTAGTCTTTTCAATACTGGCTATCCTAACTGGTGTGAGGTGATATCTCATTGTGGATTTGATTTGCATTTCCATGATCATCAGCTATGTGCAGCATCTTCTCATGTGCCTGTTGGCCATCTGTATTCTTTGGGAAAATTGTTCAGGTCTTCCACCCATTTATTTTAATTGGAGTATTTGTTTTTTGGGTGTTGAGTGTATGAGTTCTTTATGTATTTTGGATGTTAACCCCTTATCAGATGAGTCATTTAAGAATATATTCTCCCATAATGTAGGATACCTTTTTGTTCTACTGATGGTGTCCTTTGCTGTACAGAAGCTTCTTAGATTGATGTAGTCCCACTTGTTCATTTTTTATTTTGTTTCCTTTGCCCGAGGATAAGTGTCCAGGCAAAAACTGCTCATACTTATGTTCAAAAGATTTTTGCCCAAGTTTTCTTCTAAGAGTTTTATGGTTTCATGTCTTACATTCAGGTCTTTAATTAATTTTGAGTTTATTTTTGTGTATGGAGTTAGACAGTAATCCAGTTTCATTCTCTTGCATGTAGCTGTCCAGTTTTCCTGGCACCAGTTATTGAAGAGGCTGTCTTTTCCCCATTGTATATTCATGACTCATTTATCATATATCAATTGACCATATATATGTGGGTTTTCATTTGGGCTTTCTATTATGTTCCATTGATCTATAGGTCTGTTCTTGGCCAGTACCAAATTGTCTTGATTACTGTGGCTTTGTAGTAGAGCTTGAAGTTTGGAAGCAAGATTTATTGCTTCCCTGCTTTATTCTTCCTTCTCAGGATTGCTTTGGCTATTCGGAGTCTTTTGTGGTTCCATATGAATTTTAGAGTATTTGTTCCAGTTCATTGAAGAATGCTATTGATATTTTGATAGGGATTGCATTGAATCTGTAGATTGCTTTAGGCAGGCTGGCCATTTTGACAATATTAATTCTTCCTAGCCAAGAGCATGGGATGAATTTCCATTTGTTAGTGTCCTCTTTAATTTCTCTTAGGAGTGTCTTGTAGTTTTCAGAGTACAGGTCTTGTACCTCCTTGGTTAGGTTTATTCCTGGGTATTTTATTCTTTTTGGTGGAATTGTAAATAGAATTGTTTTCCTAATTTTTCTTTCTGCTAGTTCATTGTTAGTATACAGAAACACAACAGATTTCTGTGTATTAATTTTGTATCCTGCAACTTTGCTGAATCTAGTTATTAGTTCTAATAGTTTTTTCTGGAGTCTTTAGGGTTTTCTATGTATAAGATCATGTCATCTGCAAATAGTAACAGTTTAACTTTTACTGATTTGGATACCTTTTATATCTTTGTGTTGTCTGATTGCTGTGGCTAGCACCATATTGAATAAAGGCGGTGAGAGTGGATATCCTTGTCTTGTTTCTAATCTTAGAGGAAAAGCTTTTAGCTTTTTGCCATTCAGTATAATGTTAGCTGTGGGTTTGTCATATATGGCCTTTATTATGTTGAGGTACTTACCCTTTATACCCATTTTGTTGAGAGTTTTTATTATGAATGGATGTTGAATTCTGTCAAATGCTTTTTTAGCATCTATTGAAATGATCATGTGGTTTTTATCCTTTTTGTTAATGTGGTGTATGGTGTTGGTTGGTTTATGAATATTATACCACCCTTGCATTCCTGGAGTAAATCCCACTTGGTCATGATGGATGATCCTTTTGATATGCTTTTGAATTTGTTTTGCTTATATTTTGTTGAGGATTTTCACATCTATTTTCATCAGGGATATTCTATAATTTCCTTTTTTTTGGTTTTGGTATTAGAGTGATGCTGGCTTCACAGAATGAGTTTGGAAGTATTCCCTCCTCTTCTATGTTTTGAAATATTTTAAGAGAAATAGGTATTAGCTCTTCTTCAAATATTTGGTAGAATGCAGCTATGAGGCTGTCTGGTCGTGGTGTTTTGTTTATTGGTAGTTTTTTGATTACCAGTTCAGTTTTGTTTCTGGTAATTGATCTTTTCAGATTTCTGTTTCTTCCTGGGTCAGTCTAGGAAGGTTGTACCTGCCAGAAAGTTGTCCATTTCTTCTGGGTTGTCCAATTTATTGACATATAATTTTTCATATTCACTAATAATTCTTTGCATTTCCATGGTACCTGTTGTGACTATTCCTTCTTCATTTCTAATTCTATTTATTTTTGTACTCTCTCTTTTTTTCTTGGTAAGTACAGTTAGGGGTTTATCTATTTTGTTTATTTTCTCAAAGAACCAGCTCTTGGTTTCATTGATTTATTCTATTGTTTTATTCTTCTCTATTTATTTCTGCTCTGATCTTTATTTTTCTCTCCTTCTACTAACTTAGGGCTTTATTTGTTCTTCTTTTTCTAGTTTCTTTAATTGTGAGTTTAGTTTAGACTGTTTATTTGCAGTTGTTCTTAATTTCTTGAGGTAGGCCTGTATTGTTCTATATTTCCCTTTAAGAGCTGCTTTTGCCATGTCCCACAAATTTTGAACTGTTGAATTTTTGTTTTCATTTGTCTCCATGTATTGCTTGATTTCTCTTTTAATGTGTTCATTGATCCCTTGGTTATATAGAAACATGTTGTTTAGCCTGCATGTTTGTAGCCTTTTGTGTTTTCTTTGTGTAATTTATTTCCAGTTTCATACTATTGGGTGTGAGAAGCTGCTTGACACAATTTCAATCTTTTTTAATTTCTTGAGGCTCTTTTTGTGAGCTAATATGTGCTTTATTCTGGAGAACATTCAATGTACACTTGAGAAAAATCTGTATACTCCTGCTTTGGAGTGGAATGTTCTGTAGATATCTGTTAAGTACGTCTGATCTAATATATTGTTCAGTGCCTGTGTTTCCTTATTTATTTTCTGTCTGGTTGATCTGTCTATTGATGTGAGAGATATGTAAAGTCTCCTAAAATAAACATGTTGCAATCCATTTCCCCCTTTAATTCTGTTAGTCTTTGTTTTACATATTTAGGTACTTCTATGTTGGGTGCATAGGTATTTATATCCTCTTGTTGGACTGACCCCTTTATCATTGTGTAATGCCCTTTGTCTCTTGTTACTTTCTTTGTTTTGAAATCTATTTTGTCTGATGTAAGTACAGCTACTTCTGCTTTTTTCTCCATTTTTTGCATGAAATATTTTCTTTCATCCCTTCACTTTTAATCTGTGTATGTCTTTGAGTCTGATATGAGTTTCCTGTAAGGAGCATATAGTTGGGTCTTGTTTCTTTATCCATTCTGCTCCTGTATGTCTTTTCATTGGTGCATTTAGTCTATTTACATTTAAGGTAATTATTGGTAGGTATGTACTTTTTGGCATTTTAGTAATTGTTTTCTGGTTGTTTTTATAGCTCCTCTCTGTTCCTTTCTTCCTCTCTCATACTCTTCTCTTGTTATTGAAGATTTTCTTTAATATTATGGTTGGAGTTTTCTTCTTTAATTTTTTGTGTATCTATTAAAGGCTTTAGGTTTATGGCTACTGTTAGGTTCAGGAATAGCTTCCCGAGTATATAGCAGTCTATATTAACTTGATAATTGCTCTATTTCAAACACAACCCAGAAGTACTTCTTTTTTCCTCTTCCTCCTTCTCCACATTTTATGTATTAGATGCCATAATCTGCACTTTTTGGGTATCCCTTGACTGATTTTGTGTATAGTCTGTTTTACTACTTTTGCTTTAATTTCATACTTGCTTAGTAAGTAATTGGTCTACTACCTTTTCTCTAGATTT